CGCCCAACTAATCCTTTTGTAGGGACGTGTTATGGATATAATAAAGTATATACTCGGAATCTAGACCCGGAAAATTAGTATCCTGTCTCCACTAGTCAACAGTGCCACAATGCTCATCATGATCCTGAACCTCGTGTTGGTGATGGTCACCCTCGTCTTCGCAGAACTTCCTCCCAGTCTTCTGGACGGCGACCTGCGAGACCTCAGTCTTCTGCCCCTGGACAAGCTACTGGCCGTCAAGAGAGCGCTCACATACAGTAAGTCTTGCCTTTAACTATGGATAGAATCGTGGATTAATTGATCATAAAATATTGCATAATAGATAGCCTCTAGATCGTCATGATTTCACAATAGGTAATTTTTAAGTTTGATTTCGCAATGATTTAGTCAAACGATTCTGTGCCTAGCAGTAATTACATCTATTCGCACTCATCTTACGTCATATTGTAGAAAAACGTCAAAGAGTTCAGTCCTCGAAGTGATAGTTGTCAGTACACGATATAGGCTTGCAAAACATATCGAACACGCGGAGATAAAACAAAATACAATTACTACGAATAATATCCAATAGCTATGTTAAGTACAATGTATAATTGGCGCGTGATGCGATACAGACAGAAAGCGAGTCAAAACTACTTAATACCTTAATAAAGAAATAAAGTACTGTGCCTGGATAAGGGTGCTAATGCGAACAGCACTAAGGAGGGGTGGAAGGGGTTCAGGGTAATTTTTATAATCTTTTACCAATGCTACAGCCAAACAAACGATTCTGTGTTACTGGACCTAACACACAATAATATAATGAATTGTTTTTGTCTTTCCTGCGAATAAGCTTTTTGACTGAGGCACAAGTAAAATAATCACTACATCTGCTTATTTTGTCGATCCAGAGGCTATTCTATTATTATATTTTCAATTCAATGTTTTTATTCATTCAAACAAATTACAGACTACTTGTTGCGGAAGATATGCATTGCATGAATTTCACACCTGGTTTGCTTGAGCTACATAACTGGTAAATGGATAGAGATACATGTAAAGATAAAAAACACACATAAACGTAGCTGGGACATGGTTGAATCCTAATTTGACCCTTTCTTTAATTCAGATGCAAGTTCCCCTCCGCAGCTATTCTATGCAGTGTGCAGTTAAATTCCAACAAATACGAAACGCTGATTAAATGTAATCACCAAAACTTGTCTAAGCCCAAACAAATGACCAATAAAGTGTGTCAATACGCTAAGTAGCCATAAATCTGGAATATTGAAGCAGGCAAACAGTTATACAAGTCATAATACAGGAACCCATTAGTGGGGTTATAAACACCGTAGTAAATAACGAAACCCATTGGTAATAAATAAACAATGGCATAAAACTCAGATGGGAAGTCATGATTTAGGCGTAAATCCTACTATGACTGGGACCTATCGACTATGGTTGCAGAATATTAAGAAGATTCAGATATTCAGTGAAGATTGCCTATCTGTAGACTATTTCACCGATCTCTTTTGACCCCTTTTCTTTAGCAGTCAAGTAAAATTTCACTACATCGTGGCGTGGCATTTACCTTAAAACAGTATTTTTTATAGAACATGCACTTCTAAACCGTTAAATCAAAATAGCCTTTAGCTGATCCATAAAATTTATAATCTAAGACCTATAAAATTTATATTTGATGGTAAATCTATAAGGGTGGGTTAAATAGTAATATGTTATATTACAATATCAATATGGTAAGCCAACATTTGTAGAAAATGTGGTCAGAATCAATTTTGAATTGATGTTTGGGAATAGTCCGAAAAATTAAAATCAAAAGATTTTAGAGTGATGTGAGTATCAAAAGAGGATCTCCTAAAGCCACGGACGACATGACATTCTTCTGGACCAAAGCTATTAGAGAATTAAACAGTCTATGTGAATGATTTTTTCTTAAATTTAATATTTTAAGATATATTTACACTAAATGGCGAAGATGTGTAAAAAATTATTGTCTAAAGTATGAGAAGAAAAAGCGTTACTGGCGTTACTGGTATGATTAGTGTTTATTTTAGCTGAATAAATCCATTACAACTAGATTAGTCATGAGCAACTGGGTACTTTTTCGTTTCATAGAAAGTTACAGGATTTTCTCAATTTTCGCAGTTTTTATATCCAGTGCCATATTTTTAGGAACCTTAAGATTTTAAAATACGTCGATATGTGAAACCAGCTCAGACACACAGGTAGAAAAATACTTTCCTACTGTTATTGTGAATATTAAATTATGTGAAAAAGTTTTTAGATTGAATAACCATCAACAAAGTTCAACCTTCTACCATAGACTAACCAACACAAGGAGTATGTTAGAGTACCAACTATGGGAGTATGTTTTATCTATGCTTCTACCACTATTCTTACGTTTTACAAACACCTTTTCGTGATTAGAAGACATAGACTCCGCGGGAACCGTAGCCAACACTTCCTCAACTCCAAAAAGCCAAGCTCAAGCCCTGAGAGGTGACCCTGGCAGTAGAGGGACTCCGCCACCTCGGCGAGGAGGACCTCCAATCTGGGTGGAGGAAGTGGACGTCTACCATAAAGGTGGCGGTCACGGCGGTGGCGGAGGAAAAGGGAAAGGTGCTCTACTACAAGGGATATTCCAGGTAAACATTGCATTTTAAATTGAAGAATCGAATAGTTATTTTGCTAGGTAGGTAGTGGAGTGTTTCATAGTTCTGTTTATTGTATTCGGGTGCCGCAGGTAACGCTTTATAAAAGGTTAGTTTTTCTAACAATTTGTTGTTGAACCCAATATGAATTGAAATACTTGGGCTTGAGACTCGAGACGAGTATAGGAAAGAAACTAACCCATCGCTAAGCGGATACTCGTTCCCTATTTCTAAGTACATTTAATATTGAAAAGAAAGGGTCTCAAAAGTGTTACCCCGAAATTAACTAAGGCATACTGTGCAATGTCCTTTCCAATCAGCTTAACGATTTCAACCTTCAATTAATTGTTCATTAAAAATATTTCAAACCTACCTCTAATCCTAAGCTTCATTGTACCTTTTTATCATACTAAAAGATGTTTTTTAATACAAACATTTCTGATAACAGAAGCCAATGCCTGATTTTAGTTGTTCTGTAAGGCACTTTTGTGCTAAGAAACAATCTCATATACGTAACAAATGCCCCAATGTTTATATCTTTATACTTTCAGGGCACAGTGACAGTCCTAGCCTTCCTCGCTTTTGGTGGCTACCTCATATGTCTGATCCTGAACGCCCTGAAACAGAAGACAGCCGCTCTGGAGATGACACTGCTGACAACGGTGGAACCGGCGACACGGCGGCGGCGGACCCTAGAGCTACGTGAAGCCTCTGGAGATCGCATGTTTACGGTCCTTCAGACCCTGTCCGAGGCATACGTCAAGTACAACCAGAGGTGTCTGCATGACTGAGGATGTTGAACTGTGATGAATGCTCTACCTTATATGTGAACAGAAATACGTACACTGCCAGATTTAATAAATGTAAATTGAACACTGTATTTGATAACATAGAAATTTACCATTCCTTAAGATAGTTTAGACTTAAGGGTTTTCTTTGTGGTTTTTAATTTATTGCAGCTTTTAAGACCTCTTTAGGATGTTCGGGGACCCATATTAAAACGTTTGGGAGATTTATACAGTATAGCATTGTTTATACAAACAAATAGCCTGTTCTCCTCAGACCTCCATCTTTCTTCGGGTGTTGTGTTTCTTTGATGGCCACAATGATGGGATTTTCTTAAAATGCAAAATTGACAATTGTGACGGGGCAGTTCTTCATTGCTTTCGACGTAACCGTATCTTTCAAAACCTTTCTGGTGTAAAGAATTGGGGTTGTGTCAGCAACTACCATTTCAAACTGTCTTTTAGCTTCACTTAAAACTGTCTTTTAGCTTATTGTCATTCAATTCATGACCAATTTGATGAGATGCATCTTGGGATAACTAACCTGTAAGGGTAGGCTTTGTTAAACCGATTTCGCATCAATTTGGGTGAATGCAACTCTGGAAGTTAAGGTAGGAAAGGGGCCCTGCTCAGCCATGTGACTTCTGGGCCAAAACCTTTGACAATGAGTAATCCGTACCTTATAGTGTTGGATTATCCTTTACTACATGGACTGCTAAATTAGTTAGGCCTACTCGACTTAACGCCTAGATGAAGCAGAGTCAACTTGAGTAAAAGATCTATTGGTTTTAAAAACAGGTCCGACATTTCTTAACTATTTGTTCATACATATGTTTTATAGGATTTTGAAAAAAATAACACTTGTAGCCACAGGTATTTTGAAATTTACATGGTAACCGGTACAATATGTTCAATATCATTTATCAAAATGCATAACTGTATGTGCTCTTGTAAGAATGCAAAATTGGTGCAATTGGGATTAATGCCAACTCATAAATAGGCTTTCAAATTCATATTATTCTAAAATTCCTTTGTCATTCTCTTTTTGCTGTAGTCAATAGCAAGCAAATAAGTTTGTACATAGTCTAATGAATAAATCATCAGATTTTTTGGCGTTGCACACGCATTCTCACTGGTTCAGCATGAAACTCATCTCATCCACTGATAAAGCTTCTTCAAAGCAAGGCAAAATACGTCTGGCAATGATTCATTTGATTTTGTATCCAGCCACGAACACTTATGCATACAGATCTATGTTAAATGCCTAGTTGTTAAACTACAGTGTGTTGTCCACAATGTCTACGGGAATTTCCACTCGGTATGATCACAATCATAGGCTTGCATCGCTAAATACCTTCTTTTCCAAATAATAGATTTTCAATTTTTGTTTGAAATGCGGCCTTATGATACTTCCTCACATTTGCTAACTAACCACTCGCTATCGAGGACGTTTAGGTGATCAATTAGAGCGTTGTAGAGTGTAGAGTGTTCTCAGAGCGAAGACAATGTGCGACTAACGGTGAGGACGGTGGAGCAGCTGGAGCATGGCAGACTCCTTGTAGACATCATGGGGACCACAGGTGAGTACAATAACATAGCAAGCTGACTTTTACTGTCCTTTAGGGACAAAACACCTTGTAAACGTGTCTGAAGGTATAAAATATACATCGTACCTAAGGATCCAAATAGTCCTATTTTATGTCTAAATAAAATGAGTCTCGAATGGGTTACTCTTAACCCTTAAAGAGTAAGGTTATGATTATTTGATGAATTGATAACCTGGTGCTTCGTAAAAGAATCTGTATTTATAATTGAACTGATTTTTAAAAGTAAAAATATAACTGAGCAAAATATATGTTTATTGAGTTAAGTAGCGACACATGTTTACGCCTCCGTGCTTTTATGAAGACTCGAAAGCCAAATACAGCCAGTTTACACTCGGGTAACAGACAATTCTGTCAATACGATTTAAAAATTGATATTTTGAGTTAAATAGTTACGTATTCTGAGCTATTTCTAAGCATTGTGAAAAGTATCAATTTAAAAAGGTCTGAATTAAATAGGGTTTTAAACTGCTCAAATAGCATCGTCTGTTGACAGAAAAAACACCGAGAAAATAGCATTATCAGCTAGTACTATGGTTTTGTAGGAACCATCAACAATTATCATTGCAAACTGTATATAAGAACAAAAAACTAAACTTAAAAACACAGAATGTCACAGAAAATTTCAATTAAACCATTATTGGGCTCTAGGTCATCTAGGTCACGTGATTATTGTACTGCTAGTGACACCAGCTTTGGCGGCCCAGGATGGCGCAGAGCCTCGCTTCTTCACCAAGGAAGGTAAGTCGAGCCATCAACACATAGTCATAGTCATAGTCAAACGATTGACTTTTGGTTACTGCAAGTAGATTTTACATCTGTTGTAAAATATGAAGATCTTTTTCATGTATTTCCATCAATTAAAACATTTCTCTTTTATTTTATGGTAAATTTTACTATAGTCATTGAACTCTGCTTACAGTAACAGAGGACAAGCAGTAGTTAGCATGCAGATTGTTCGCGTAAACGAAAACGTCTTATTGCATTTACTGTTAGAGGTGTCACCCCTAAGTGGCAATCCTCAGTGGCTAGGATGAGTAGTAGTACTGTGTCACTACAAATTAAAGGTGAAATATCTATAAGTGAATATGATCCTACACCTGGGTTAACAAGAACAACCCTTTGGTTAACACACACCCAGACACATGACATGTTATGTTGGGATGATATTTTACTCAGGGCCGAACTTACCTAGGGGCGGACGGGGCGAGCGCCCGGGGCCGCCGGGCCCAGGGGGGCCCCGAAGGGGCCCCTTGCACAGTAGTTTTTATTAATATCTTCGAAAACTAATCAGACACTTACCGAATGATCTTCTTTTTTAACAGCTTTATTGTCGTTATCCTATATTTAAGGTTATTGTTAGATGATCTTTAAGGTATTACTAGGACCAAAATTCTTGACTCTAAGGGACTTTTCCTCAGGGTTGCACTGGGCCCCGCGCTTAGACCTAGTTTACACGAGCATAGCTGCTAGGCTGTGACGGACCAGTTTGAGTTTCAATGAAGCCGTTCACACAAACCTACGGCCGCGGTGATCAAGTTGAAGGGGGCCCCTTCGCTTGGGGTAAAAAATACAATAAATAATATGAAAACTCTTGTCCTAACGCAGAACGTAACTTGTACAATTGTGTTGGGGTTAAATGGAGATTCAATTGAGATCTAATACTTTTGAAAAATAAAAACATTGTTTGAAAAATATGTTTTATTAGATGTTATTCTTTTACCTCTAAGTATATGACATTCACGATTTTAAGGGGCAGAAGTATTATATTACCCATTCAATTAAAAGGTTTTATAAAATAGTAATTAAGTTATACGTAAAATCATACAGCGCCAGTAGGATAAAAAATCTATATAGACATTTTATGACAACTAGGGTCGTCTGATGTTAACAAAAATTACATTATTTGGGAGCGGGCGAGCGTTGTCGACTGAAATCGTAAAAAAGCGCTCAACAAGCAGCTGCAACAATAAATGATAATGAGCTGATAAGGGATCCTGTCTAGTCTTGTATGTCTCACGCACGCGCATACACATACATACAATGCCTTATCGCCAATCCAAAACAATTTAAATCACTCCCAGTGTGTTTTTGGTTGACATTATCGTACTTTTGTGTTGTATTTTATTATTAATTCTGCAAACACTACAAAGAACAAATTAATGTTGTATTGAATGTTATGTTTGTGTTGTATTAATTTATATTGAATACATTTAAACATCTTTCAGTTTACTCATATAAATGGTTAGCTTGTGATTGGTTATTAGACTTGTATTGTAACATTTTACTCGTCAAGAAAAAACTCAAACTCGTTAAAAGTTCTTAATGGTACTTTTCATGCTAGGACTTTTAACATATTATACAAACGAGAATTCCATGCCAAAACCACTATGAAAATAAACATAAGTCATAGTTTATGATTTTATAGTTTTAGTGCAGCCAAGAAATGTAGGAAAAGCAGGAGGTTTTAATTGCCATGCCAACGTGACCAACGTATCAGAGTAGGAAGTGACATTTATTTATAGGGAAAATAACTATGTTCTAAACTTTATAATGATTAATCTATAAAAAGTAAATTTTAAAATTGTTTTGACTTGTATCTTATAAACTTAGTACAGTAAAAGGTTTGTTAGTAAAATTATAGTAAGTTATAAAATATATTAAAGCTTTAAAAGTGTATGCATTATCTCTGACTTACATCACGTGTTTAAATATAACTTATTCCATTAATTAATGTTAGTTATTTTTCATTTGAGTTTTCATTCAAGCACCAAATAGAATGTGTATTACAGTAAATAAATTAAATTAAACCTTTTACAAGTACTTGTTATTTTATTTTTATTTTATCTATAGCTTTCATTATTTGTTGCAAAGGATATTACATTTTAATGTATTGCAAAAAATGTGTAAGGTACCTGCTAGGTATATTAAAATTTTATAAATACAATTACAACAAGAACAAATCATAAAATAACACCGTACATTGTAGCTATTTTCAGACTTAAAATATTACATACAATTAGTTTATGCAAAATACAGCATTCTAACAGGTTTACATATTAATTCACCTTGAAATTAGCTATTTAAAATTAGTGTGCATGTAAATGCGTTACATTGTGTAGGTACCGTATATGTTCTCGTATAATCATACTGGGGGCCCCATCGGCAAATTCGCCCGGGACCTCTGAAGTCCTAAGTCCGGCCCTGATTTTACTGTGTTTTAGAGCTACAACCAAGGTTCTGTGAAGGATTCTTTGGGTTTTCGGTAGCATCTGCAGCTGCGTGGTGAAATCAAATTTCTGTAAAAGGTCTCGCTCTTATTGTGAACTTGCATCAATAATTTTCTATTATGTGTATTTCATAGTAAGGCTGAACCTGCTGGTAGATTTAATCTGACGACGCGATTGACACATAAAAATGTCATTATTTGGTTAGTTTACGATATGCCACTGTGCGTTGTCCTATTTACTGTCAAACGTTTCGCTTTTGTTGTGACGTTGCATCCACAATAGCTAGTATGAGTACTGAGGATTGTACTCCGCATCAGTAAAAGAAAAAAAAACGAAAGGTCTGGCAGTGAGTTTTATCAACCACAGTTAACGTAGACAATTTGACTGGAATATTAATTTCACTACGTTAAACTTCCGAGCTTTTAAGCTTCTGTAAAAGATCCAGGAGTGGTGGGAGTCTTTTACCCCATTGTCTGTGACAGCATGTAGACAATGATTTAGGCTTTTGCAATTAACGATAAACTTTTCGATATAATCACCATTGGTAGATCAAATTTGCTGAAAACCCTTTCGTTCTTACTATGAAGTAGTATTCACAACGGCTAGGCTAAGTACTGAGGACTACTTCTAAGTAGCAGTGTGTGACCAAGCGGGAATTCTGAAGAAAGGTTACGTACGAAACGATTCACTAGGTTAACCAATGTCCAATATGCTGTGTTGTAGAACTACTGTCCGAGTTTCGGGAGGGATGGGAAGCGGCGGGACGTCTGGTAGGGTTCGACACCTCCCAGGGTCTAGGCGCCCTGGTCAGCTCTTCCTGGGCCCCCGCGGCCACTGAGAAGCACGATGTCCATCCAGACGCTGCAGCAGCACATCCGTCAATCTTCCACGGATTCTTTCGCCTACTAGGTTTTGACTCAACCCGCCTAAATGCAATTGCAGTCAACGCCGTCGTTTTCATCGCTAAAATGGTAACCTCAATTGAAGCTTACAGGCATTCCCAAATTTGGTATATTTTAAATTTTCTCAAGCTAAGTTTTAGAATGAGATATTAGTAGTAATTTAATGAGCGAGCTAGTTTAGTGTGATAATTCATGTATTTTCAATCCCTGAAGTCCGGTGTTAAAATTCCGCCAATTACTCATGACTTTAATCTGTGATAATACCGCAGCCCTCTGGACCTAGCCTGAACCAATGTGTTTAATGATGTAAAAATATTAGTAAAGATTTCAAGCAAACACCTTCATAGTGTTGAGAGTTCAAGAATACAAAGAAATTTACAGTGAGCCTAAGTAATAAATTCCTGATGGTTAAGCTACAGTGTTTAAAGCAGGGATGGATAAATTGTAGATTTAGTTATTAATGGATACGCAACTAAAACGTATTTGATACCTTAATAGATAAAAGTGAGAGTAAGATGCTGTAAGCAACCCCGGATGTTCCAGATAGGATCTTCACTGATCAGGAACTGGACGAGCGGTGCTGGAGGTGGAAATGTTGGGGGCAGAGCCCTAGGGGACGAGGATGTAGAGGAGTCGTTGTCCTGGGTCATAGACAGTGTGAAAGACAAGGTACAGTATGGAAAGTGTGGCCTGCACAAACCTTGTGCTAGTGATTTTTTTTCTGTTTAGTGATAATGGTAGTTACTTACTACTGTTTAAAAAATTTCTACTGTCCGGTTCTATTTCCTCTTTAATTTTTCTACACCAGACACTACTACTCTGAGTACTATGATGTTTGATAGAAGTTTTACATCTTATAGTATACAATAAATTCCCTCATTAGTTTGGCATAATAAAGGACAAGAGTATAAGAAGCAAATTTGTTTTTTGCAGCACCATACCAAGTAATTTTAAATATATATCTTATGAAAGTAAAACGGCTTGATTTTTTGTAAAAGCTTCTGTCTTAAGCTAGGATCAAGAAGATTTTTGGATATCAATGGTTTATTTTATTCGTTCACGTACTATTAAGCGTATTCATTTAAACCAATTAATTAGTTTGCCTGGAATGTAGGTATGCATAATGTAGAGTCAAAAACCTATATAAACCAAGCATGTAGGCAAGCAAAAATATGTTATCCCAAATGTAATGAGGACGAGAATTAGCTATGTTTGTTTAAGCGTGATTGTGTGCGCCGTTCCTCCAACAAAGCAGAGATAGATGCTTTCTTGCAACGATGTTGCATCTGTTTCCTGCAGGAGCAGATTACCTGTGCACAATGTCGTACAAAGTTCTTTCTACACTAACGTTGGAAAATAATTTATTACTAGACTGTGGTGAATAATGATTACTTTTAACACCTAATTTACAATTCTTCTGCCAACATATCCTCGTTTCTCTCCTAAAATGTTTGTAAATATTTTCGTTTTTTTTTCAACACAACTACCAACTCAACAATTTCTCCTTTAGTATAGTTCGATAAGTTTTTGACAACAATTAAATGTACAGGAAATAAAAATGCATTGGATAGTAAACATTGTTCTCAATATTCATATTTTGATTACTAAATACAATATTTCTAAATTCCATATTTTGTATAAATTGTTAACACAAAGAAGTAATTTACAAGACAGATTTGTTTTAACGTCCGTTGTTGAGAGAAAATTTTACCGAAATGTTAAAGAACTTTTTGGTATAAAATAGGCCCTAACATTATTTTAATTTCCTATGACGCCAACAACCAGGGTGCGTATTTTAAAGTGAAGATAAATAAAGGATTTGTGTTGAACCTGTGTAGTCAATGGTTGAATGGATGACATGACAGCTATCTTACTATGATCGCCTGGTTCTTTAGCCAATACCATTTTATCAAGCACAGCTAAGAGATATTTCCCGTTGATTCACTACTTCTCATAAGGTTGAAATGTTATAAATCTAAAAATCCTGTTTGAGTTGGGTTAGGGTATGTTGAGTTAAAAACTAGGAGTAACTTAAACCTCAGATTTTATTTTGTTACTTAGATCTTTGACTATTAGTAGTCAATGGTACGACTTGTATAATGAAGGTGAATTAACGGGAAAGACCCCATCTGGACCCATCCCAACTGGATCCAATTACGAAGCATCAAAACCCCTCTGAATTCTCTCAAATCGGCAAAATAGATTACTAGTCTAGCGCTATAACGCCTCAGTAACCCAATTATTAACTTATCTACCCATGACTTTGTCCCAGGCTCGAGGTATTCTATCGAGGGCGCAGTCCGAGGACCTGGGTGATCAGCTGATCTCCGCCCTCCAGGACATCCCGGGGGAGACAGACTGTGTGCAGCTTCTGGTGTGTAGGGCTTCGCCCCTCCTGAACACCATGCGTCGCTCCCTCCGGGCACTGCTGGACGGAGAGTCTGTCCCCGCGGGTCTGTCACCGCTACAGAAGATGTTGTACTACCTACCTACCAGGCATCAGCTGACAGAGGCGGCTGTCACGTGCCGCCGGAGACTACCCAGTTGCAGTCAGCTGTTCGAGTGACGTCAGTGAAGAAGTGGTAGATTTGTTTAAAAGAACACCGAGTGCTGATAAAGACTATGAAGATAATGAAGTATGTCTTCCAACACTTTCCGATACATATATAGTCATGTTGTCAACATATACTACGTACATTTGTGTGAAAGATGTTACAATGCCTAAACGGAGACTCTCGGTAAACGATCTCATGAAATATCTGATCATACAGTAATCGTATAATGGCACTAACTACATGATGGTTGTAGTTCTTTTACAACAACTACACACAAATTTCCATCAATTCATCCCCCACTAAATATTGTATCAACGTGTCTATTAATGTTACTGTACTACAGTACTAGGTTATACCTATACGGTCTTTGGGTTTTTAATGTTTTATTCACCTACAAAGACTGTATTCTAAAGATAACTTGAATTAAGAACAATTGTGTTAAAAATCCTTTTACGATTAACGTGTTTTTTTAGAATGTGTGTTCCATTGCATTTGCAACGAAAGGTGTATTAAAATTTTCTGTTCTACTTTTGTATTGACATTAATTATAGTAGAGTGTTGCAATAAATAAACAAAAATATTTTATCAACAAACTTTTAACTAAACCTATACACCCAAAAACTATTATTAAAGGCATATTATTTTTGAGGGTTATTATAAAAAAGCAGTCGATGACAGCTTGGATATTAAATTTCTATTTTATTAATTAGTTTAGTGAAAAAGTTACAGTGTTTACTTTCGCCATATACTAACCAACACAAATAGACTTCTCATCCAATTAAATATTTTGAAGCCGTATGTCGTGTTTAGTTCATGTCCGGTGACACTCGATTGTCGCTATTTGTATTTGTGCTTTATTATTTAGTTATTTAACTAGGGGAAGAGTTAGTGTTTATGATTACAATATTTTATTTGGTTAAACAAGTTTTTAAATTACTGAAATGAAATAACAAGAAACGAATTGTGAATAAAACACCTCAACAATGCAACGCACACCGGACAGAACTAAAAAAAAAAAAATAAAGATGAGAAATCTTCTAAAGGAGTATGTTTTATCAATGTTTTTGCATTTTTCTGCTTTTTAGCGAATTTCTTATAAAGAATTAGACATTACCATAGGTGGCACGGGAAGACCCGGGACCGATATAATTTTCTTTCATTTTGGAAGTTGAAATCAGCTGTTCTGGCTACCAGGTGGTCTCAGCCAGAAATACAAAAATCAGCTGACTCCATCATGCTCTAATCTTGTACTAATTTTCAGTTAAAAATATGCAGCATAGTTTTCCTGACTCAATTTAATGACATGTGTTGTGTTTTCTACCATTTTCTCTTTCAAGTATAACTATAACAAGTGTTTATATAAACGTAGCTTTGTTCATCAATGAAGTTGACATCTCTAGGTAATGATTGGACGGTCTACGTTGTCCATATATACTATACTGACCTACGTGAAGGCATCTGGTGAACGGGACTGTCACAAGCTACAGGTAGTCTTTCCATACACTGCACGGTACTGCACTGTGATTGTATAAAACCATGCTCAACACTCAGGCGAAAAGAATATAATTTTATAGAGGCTAAACCTAATCAAATTAAGGTGCTGTCAGTGCTCTCCTGAAAAGCAAAAGGTCGCAGGTTTGATCCTGAGAATAGCCCGTAGCTTATTGGCGGTTCGAAACTAGACCCAGCTGTACTTATATTCGACTTTTAGTATATAGCCGAGGCCTTAGAAACAGCTGTTCTTAGTCAGTAACAATGCTTGAACGTCTCACTTCGTTTATTTTTAGCAACTAGAGCTCGCCCAATGGTCGATAAATAGACCTAAAGTATGTATTGTGCAGACTTCTCTATTTTCACCCCACGCTGTAAATAAAACATGTGATTGGAATTTCTTACATTTTTTTTATTCTCTGGTTATATTTTATTGTTATTTCGTCACCAGCATAGCAACACATAAGACCCATATTAATTTTTTTATTATTTTAATTTTTATTTATAAAAGATATACTATATATTATCTTGCAAACAGTGAATCTATTTAAGTAAATCTATATCTATCTAAACAGTAATCTCATTTTAATGCAATCAACCCTTGAGATGATTTTGAAGAGGTTCCAAATCGTCTAGATAGTTAGAGCCTGGAGTTTGGGTCCAGTAGGCCTTGGATTAAATTCCGCCAATTATCGATGACTGTTATGTGGTAATGCCGTTATCCAGTATTACGGTTCCCAATTGGAGCAGTCGGTACACCTTCATTCAATAAAAAATGCCCTGACGTATTTTATTATTGCCTGTTTTTATGTAAAGAGGTTTTTGTTGTTTGATGTTTTGTTGTGATTTTGTGGGCTTTGTTATCTGAAATATTTTTTTTTCATTTCCTTTGAGATTTGACCAAGTTTGTTGTCATATGGATTGGTATTTTGTCGCCTGGAGTTGCGTGCTAGAAGTGGACTGAAGCGGATTGTCGTTGTCTGGTGTTATTTTACATTTTGCAAGATTTATTGTATACTGGCGTTGATTGTTTTTCATTTGATGTTTCCTTTTGTAGAATGTGATCATTTGGCTTACTTAGTTTAAGTCCCCGAAAGCAGCAAGCCGTGACGTAATCGTGAAGTTACAGAGAGCTTAACACCTACTGGTAATTTTCTAGGAGGACCATGTTCTCTTCAGCTATAAGAGGGGTTGCAGGGATTATAGGGAAGGGATTGTAGCTGCATACGTGTATGTTACGAGAATGGTGTAGTTACGAATTGAAATCCTTCCATAGCAGCTGGTTAGGGTAAGGTTGGTTACAGTGTTAGCAAAACGGGAGTTCCGATGGAGACTAGGTCAAGTCCCTTCAAACGCACGCACCCCCACAGGTCTCCATCGGCACTCCCGTTTTGCTAACACTGTAGTCGTAGAGTGTGGTTCATGGTTGACCGGGTGGGTTGTTGGGGTTTGGATAGTTTTTGTGAGTTTATTATTTAATCATGAGGGGGCGGGGTTGCTGAAAATATATTTATAATTGTCTATGCCAAATGCAGTTCGTAGTTCTGTTGCCTGTTGTCGCCTGATGTTGCTTGTGTTGCCTGCTGTGTCTACGAGCAGGCCGAGGTGAGTGTCCCGTTAGATCAGCCTACATCCGACATTTCGACCTTCAGCAGCCTTCAACTTGAGCTCTGACTGCAACTGCGTCTCTAGTGGGATAGTACCAGCACCCTGTACTACAATAATTGTACCGAGGACAAATCTTGATATCTACTAAGATTCGCATATAAGAGTGAGGAGTATGCTTCCCAATGTAATATACTAATATACTAAATTTTGATTGGCTTAAGTTCACACTCTTTTCTTCCATGGTCTTATCAGATCTGTGGCTTGAAGATTAACATACAAAAAAGATTTTACTAATTGTTAGAAAAAAAGAAGACAAGTATACTATCTTTGACTATTAGTAATTGTTAATTACATAGTATCATTGACTATTGATAATATTCTATTACCAATAGTCAAAGATACTATGTAATGGTGTGTAGGCTACACACATACACACAAACACACCAGCTGTACAGGTGAGCACTGAAGCGGTATCTGACGACGAAGTAGAGAAAGTGAATCCGTTTAATTACTGTATCACTAGTCACTACCTCACTGCAGCGATCCTTGAAAGTGGCATGTTGTGCGTAAAAATCTGTACAATCGCGATCCTAGCAGCTTGGAGGCGTTGTCACCCGCGCGCCCTACACAACATTCCTTCGAAATATTCTAGTATGTCCATTTTTATTACAACCATAGCCTGTGTACGATTCGACGGTGTATTACAGATAAAAAGTCAGAAAATGTAACAAAGATTTTAGTTTAAAACATTGAAGACCAACTATAGAAACTGTTTTGCGGAAAACTCAATTAAACCACTTGGTTTAGTTTAAAATTAACATTTTAAAATGTTAAACTTGTTTACTTCAAGTATTTTTTTCGTCCTATTGTAATATTTAAAACATTATATGTGTTTTAAGGTCCGGAAATTTATAGGGCGTTGATCAGGAAATATATCTTTCTTAATTGAGGATACATATTTAATTAGTTAATTTTTTTTATGACTCTATATATAATTTTCAAATAGAGGGTTAAATTGGTATGTTATAGTTTTAAATTCGTGATATAAAGATAGAAAACGTCCACGTTAAATCTTCCAACATTCATCATCTACAAACATACCTTAAAATCCATACACTGACGATGACGAAGTAAAATAATGTTCATCAATGAAATTCATTGAATCTATTGAATTAACTAAAGATTTTACCTACCGAAGACTGTAAATTTATTCGGCAAAATATGTGGATTACTGTTACATGGTAACTAAACCACTAACTGACTATGATTGAGTTGATGGCACTGGGTCTATGTTGTATACAGATTCTATGTGATTTAGCCATTGACATTAGCATGATCATGTAAACGTTTGCCCACACTGAGCTAAATGTCTTTTATATCCCACACTTCGAATTTAGAAAATAATAAGGCAACGTTTGATGACACCAAATAGTAAACCACAATATGATAAGCTGATAGATAAGCTGTAGTAATAAAGGCTGTACTATTTGGCTGTACTATCCAACTATTTGCGTTTTGAATTGAAAAATATACTTTGTACTCTTTAGGTATTTTTGCACACTACCTAGGTTAAGATGGCCTATGTGTAAAACTATTTTTTGGCAAATATTAAATTTGAGTTGTTGTAGTTATTGTCATTGAAATCACTGACTCGTTAAAAACTAGTTTTAAGATTTTTGACCAGTGACGTTGTTAAGTAGGCCCAGGCCTACGTAAAGTAAAGTGGTCAGTGTTGATTGACGTTTAGTAATTTTGTAATTTTTCACTTGTTTCTATTGGTTTGTTATCTACAATTTGACTGTTCCAAGCTTGAGTTAAGTTGTCCGTTTTTCGTGCTAATTTTGACATCTTTCTGGTTTCATAAAACCTGTCTTCAGAATACGATTACAGATCTCGATGTTCAGTGAAAAGGGTGGCCAATATATCATTAAACTGCAAATTAGGAATGGTACGAAACATGATTTTCATAAAATCAAAATCAAAACCACTTAAATAAAGCTTATATTTTGTTTATTCTTATATTTCAAATTTACTTCAAATTTGTTTTCAGTTAAGTTTCAAAACTTCAGCAAGTTAAACCTGAAGAAAATAACAACTAAACATAATGTAAAGTTTTTAATGCTCAATACATTTTAAAGCCTAACAAACTATACTCGTTATCAATGGAAAAAAGGTATGAATACAATCAAACGCAGATATAATGGAAAAAATATTTATTAAATATTCTCCACACAGTACAATTATAATCAAAGAACTTACCTTAAAACATGCAAAGGTGTTTCAATTAACAGATATTTAGAAAATAAACATTACATCTATAGCGAAATCTAATTCATAATCCACAAAAATAGGGGGAGCTTGTGAGAAGGTTACTGTTACTCTTAACTCTTAAGTCTCTTAACTCTTATTGTTCATAATTTGTATTACCAAATTATTATTGTTTTTTATGTATACATCGTAAATACTCTGCAAGTACACAGAGAAAAGTTTTAACCAAACAATTGAATTATAATAATTGAATTTTTTGAAATTTACTGACACAGTTAAAAATAAACTCACTTAAAAGAGGGGTTTGTACATCTTTAAACGAAAAAGCAGGAATGACCCCGAAGTTTAACTTTCATAAAATATAATAAATCAACTGATTTTCCGTATATTGCGTGAGTGTTACAGAGATCATCAAGGCAATACAACTCTGACAGTCTGTGTAGAGTAGATCTATGAACGAAAGGAAAGCGTATCCACTTTCTTCCCAGGAACTGCATCATCGCAGACAGCCGTCAGATTGTGGACGTATCAATCTTTTGTGTGGGTGAGATTACAAGAGCAAATTGTATTTTGTAAAAATAAAATAACAACTTAAGAGTTTAAATAGAATAAAAATTTCATTCAGGACAAGCAATTCCGATTGTATAACATTTGTCATATAGGCCATGTAAATATCCATTTCGTCAATTATTGTTAGGGGTCTGATTATTTCACCAACATGAACATTATCCTGCCACCTAGTTTGAATGATTGCAATTCGATAATGTCAATGTACTTACCTAATTAGAATCCAACATTTCAACCGGGAGGAACCTGAAACAAAATGTTTATGTTTTACTAATTAAAAGGGCAATATAATTTTTATAACAATTTAAAAACAATAACCAATAAACGATTTTTGAAAGTCGAATGTTAGTTGTAGCAGGTTTAAACGTAAGATAGTAAAAGCAATGCACCTTACGCTACGATTAAAAAATCATCTTAATCAGCGTTATAGACACAAATATAGCAAATAATAAATATAGCTTGGATTAAAAAAAAATACCTTCTATCAGATTTGTCACCCATGTATGGTTAACGAAAATTTTAAGGCATCATTCTATTCGATAAAATGTAAAGTAGGTTCTTATGTTTACACATTATAACTTGTTATTTTACAATCTTCCAACTTAAAAAAAATCATAACTATAGTTTTTAATGAATAATTTATTCTCACACAAGACAGATAAACTTATCCCTATTCTTCCACCAAAGACATCAAAATATGCTTCAGATTTTACGCTTTTTTTCAGCATCCAGGGCCAATAACAATACCATATAAAACACTAATAAAAAATAATATTTTGCAGTCAGTTTTATTTTAAGTACATTTCCGATTTTTCAACATCCATACCCAATTCTTTTTCCCTTCGTTTTCACAACCAAAAACTAAAAAGACCCCTATTTTAAACAGTAACCCCCACAAACACTCCACTCCACTACACCACCAGGAAGTACTTCCCACCCGGTGATTCGCCATTGATAAAGGAAGGGTTATGTGAAAGAGGCTGACGGACATTCCGCCGGGGAAGAGAGGAAGAGAGAGAAGAGGTAGGAAGGATTAGAGAGAGAAGGATGACCAGAAGTAGGTCAATGTATAAAAGTCAGGTTCAGGGCCAGCGGTCGACCAAACGACAGAACGTCGCGACTGCTATAGGACTACTCCGCACTCAGGTACGTCACTTAACTGTTAATGCTATATTTTAAATAGTTTTTATCTTAACTGGCCTTATAAAATAATATTAAATAAGGTTACGTAATAAAAAAAAAAAAAAAATGAATTGAATATTAGTTAAACTTCCGTCTTATTTTTCATAGTCCTGAACGGTCAAAATGGTATACAGTTTGTATGGATTTATTTATATTTTAACAAACAATATTATTTTAAAAGGTTACGTAATTAAATAATAATTGCACTTTCAAAATACATAAAACGATAATAACTTTCTTCTTATTACAACAGTTCTTTGTTATTTTAGCATTAATATGTTAATATTATGTTGGTATTATAAGTAAAAAAATATTAAATATTTTAGCGAAAACGTATTTTATATTATGAGATAACTGTTGAGCAATAATTAATTATTTTCCATTTACAATAATTTATGGTTAGAATAACTTTCATATATTCCGAAATAGCAACTAAAACGAAAACATTTATATAAATGAAGATTTAATAAACACTGGTATTTCCTATCAAGAATACTGTAAAATTGTGACGATGTTGACTTTCGTTTCATTCACCTAGTTCTGATTTGGACAAATAGTATACCGTATTTTAGATACGAATAAATTTCTAAACAAACATCACTGTTATTTTAAAAAGTTATATAATTAAATAATTTCATAGTTTGAATCAAATTATGATTAGTATAAGGTCCAGCCTGATTTTATATTCCTGGTTGTTCTTAGATTGCATAATATACTTTTTAGATTGCTGTATACGTGTACACAATATTTAATAGTAACACTTTTTAAATATAAAAAGAGTTTTTAAAAATATATAATTTTCACACTTGACAAATTAATAAATGTTTTAAACGTTGAAATGCATGAGTTGTAGTTAATAAAGTTATCAAATGCTTCTTATAGAATTTTAAACAATCTAACTTGTATATAGTTGACATTTACATTAAATGCGGGTGGTAAGACGATATACGTTATACTTATACGTTTGGGGCTATACTTTGGCTTTGGTTAATTAGGCTTAGACTCTTAATTGCAAACTGGTCAGCACTCAGTTTACAGTTTAATTTGTAATCTTAACTAAATTCACATCTTTCAAAACCCTTCATTAAATATCAAATACTGTAAACATAGATCATATCCATATCTAGTACACAACACAGTAACTTAACGTTTTGTTTACGTGCATGTCGTATAGAAATTGAAAATTGATACTGAGAATAGTATAGTTTGAAATCTTTTAAAATCCAAACTTGTAATTTTATCAAATCAATATACTTTATGAACATCATTAATTCAAAGTAGGGCAATAACTTACTACTGTCAGTGCATGTTATTAGTCAATCTAAGTCTGAAAATTTTGCAGATAACCTCAAGAGTGGAACTCAATGCTCATCTATAAACGAGGTTACAGACAGTTAACTCAAAAAACGTATGGTTATATTAATGATATGCGTCGCTAACGATCAAATGTGTTGAATACTTTATGCCATTCAATGGTGTCAAATGCATCTATTCAGTTAAATACTTTTAATTATATACAGAGCAATGACGCTTCTCGGAATTATGTCTGCCTTATTGAAAGTTACTGAGGAAATCTTACTAAAAGTTAAATTCACCAATGCATGGGATGTTTACTCATCTTTTTTCAATGCGAAATTCATTGATTAACAGCAGTCTACAAGATTGCCAACCACATTCCACGTTGTCTGTTCATAAATAAATTTGACATGCTAACAGTCTGTTAGCCTTGTGACATTTAAAAATGATTTTCCATTTGTTCAAAAAAGAGATTACATTATAGCTTTGACCATCAATACAACTTCAGTATCCAATACTCAATGATGATAGTGATCTCCGACCGTTCCTGTGATGAACGCATTGAAGCCGCCATCTTGAAAATCGAAGAAAGTTCTTGCCTAGACTCGATAGAAACGTCCTCTGTCAGAGCCGCATTAGGCAAAAACTCATAAAGCCTTTCCCGGTCAAGAACCGCATTCAAACCGCCGTTGTTCGCCACTTGCGCTTTTCTTTCCCGCGAAAACAGTTATTAGAAACCCGCGACTAATACTAGAAAACAAATCGTCTGAAGAACATTGACAGCTGTTAATCATACAGTCTGCTTCTACTCCTGAATAGCTCACGGTTTCCGTTATATTCTCCCGAAAGAAATAATATTGGCTGTTAGCCTTTCTTGTGGATAAGTAGACAAAGCTTTCAGAAAGTAGCCTCTAACTTGTAAAAAATGAAGCTATTCTTCAACTTTATTAGTGGTTCGTAACTGCTCTGATGATAGTCATCTGGGAGGTTGAAAAAGCACGCCTTGTTATAGTGTTTAGACAAGGTGTTACCCTTAACACCGTGATAGTGTTTATGTTGGTAGTTAGTCTTAGAATTGCCAACATTAAGGTAATATAAACACAATATTAACATAAACATTAAGGTAATCCAAAGTTGTGGGAGCTATGTTTAGTTCCTAAATTTGAGCCATATTCAGGCTGTGCAGTGAAAAGATTGTTATCTTCAGGACATAGCCAGATGCAATGGACAGGTGATTCCATCGGTCGTGCATTAATTGAGCCAAAGAGTACCTTAATTGCGCCAAGCCCTCTAAGGGTCCCAAAAAATGTTCCTTAGTTGCGCCAAGTCCAAGCTAGGTTGCGGTGAGTTGCCGACAGAAGGAATGTCCTTGTTTACATATCATCCTAACCTAATCTGATCTTACTTAACCTAACCAAACTTAACCTAACTTAACCTAACCTACTCAATTATACAGTCAAAGAAGACAACTACTTGGTGCTGTTAATGGACGTATTTGGTGGCTCCGATCAAGCGCATGGTGGCTCCCGGGAGTAGTTCGCGCAATTCAAAAATACCTGACTACAGACTTAGGTCAGTTGGCGCAATTAATTCCCACCCATCCCATCTTGCACCAAGACTGAAACGGTCAGTTATTCTGAACATCTACATTGTTATGTCGATTCAGAGACTTTAGCTGTTTTGAAATCTCAAGGGGAGGTGGGTTTGTATTTATATAGTTCTAACCAACATTTGTTTCATTTTCATCTTGCTATTCCAGTCAGATCAGATGCTAGCTATAGTTTGGCAAGTAAAATGTAAGGGTTCTGAAGTTACAATGGGAATTTCCTTCACACGTATTCAGATAAACTGATCCGAGGGCTCCATCTTGAAACATAAATATTGAGGGCGATAACACACTTCAGTACAAGCTAACTGTTTGGTTTTACTTGGTCTTCGACAAAGATATTCCCAATTCAGAGGATAGCCGGATGAAAGTACGAAGTTCCGGCTCGTCGCACGGCCTAACCCACTTGTCAGGCCTACTTTCTGCTTTACATAACCCCGCAGCATCACCTGTACTGTTCTAACAAGTAGCTATTGTTCCAACTCTGTCCAGAAATTGGTCAGGCTTCTAAGCCTTGCAAAATAAGATCGTTCATCTTCCAGAACTGGGGTATCCAGGGGTATTGCAAAGTGAGGAAATAACGCAGAGGTTCTCTAGAGTGAAAAATGATATTTTTTCAAAAAGGTTTATAGAGGGTGTTAAAACATTAAAAATCCCACATGCAAAATATTATTTGACAAACAAGCGTAATGGAAAATAAAACTATCAGTAAACATTGATGAGCAAATGATTTGGGTCGTGTTGGGTCAAAGAGAAGATGTTAAAAAATTGAGGGTCTCAAAATTTCAGTATCGTTTTTCCTAAAAACGTAATTTTTAGAAGTAGAAAAGTGATTAGGTCACAAGGGCCAGGGCAAAATGCCAATTTAATTCGTAATGACAACATCACAAGTAATGAAAGGTGGTATCCATCCCACATCAAACACTACGTGCAGAAACATTACCTAACTGCCGATGCGGGGAACGGAGCGGCTTTTGAAGCACAATTAGCCTCATAAGAAAAGTAATAAAAGCCTAGAGGGTCCGAGTAGTTAAAATGGTATTGTGAATTCAGTTGATTTTTTAAATTCTATCATGGCAAGATGTAATGTTGTACAGTATAGCTTTTCTTAGAGAATTGAAGTCAGAATACGAATAAGAGAACAATATTGTTTACTTAATAGCTAATAAACCTCCAACTTACGAATGCTTAACTTGACTTGACTTAATGACTTGACGGTATCATAAAATAGATCTAAACTATTTATTTACTATATTAAAGTAAAATCGGTTGACAAGCTTCGGTTGACGTGTCATGGCCATGAGTCCTCCCCCTCATAAAACCATTGATGAAGTCCAGCAATACCACCAACAGGTCTGTGATAATCAACGGGTTTTCATAAACCAGCCAGATCCCGGACACACTCTGGTCCCACAGATTACCAAACCTCTGTTTCACTCCCACATACCACTACCACTGGTGGCGGAAGTACCGGAGAACTTTCCTCACGGTATCCGTAAGTGACTCATTGACTCCGTCTCCTTACCCACGGATCCGCCTGTTTCTCTCTCACTCGCACCTGAGAGAGGTAATAACACTGTCACGAAATGCCGCCTCCTTTGTGGGACACTGGGTCTGGGTGTTCTCTATTTATACTGCAATTGTTTCAACAGAGTAATGTTCTTTTATTTTTTAATGGAACGCGCGGTCCTCATCATAAACTCTGGGTTATTGCTGTTTACAGTCGACGTAATGTTAGAAACCGACACTGTTTAATATTTCAATAACAAATTATGACAAAACTCAGATTTCTGAAGAAAAATAGAGTTATGACAATCTTCAAACAAAAATACAAATACTCTAAACATTCACATGCAGGTTACAATTCAATTACCAACATGACAACAAAGAAATATTTGTTAAACGCAAACTGTCACACTTGCTGTTCACGCTATTATTATTCAATTTCAATTTTAATATTTCCTTAAGCTTCACACTGACCCATGAAACAATTTGATAAAAAGTTATTGCTTACAAAGTGTTACGTGTATGTTACATTTCCATTACGTGGATTAAAAATACT